GCTTTTAATTAATCCCTAATTAATCAGTAATTAACTTCTAATTAACTCCTAATTAACCCATAATTCGCTTTTAATTAATTCCCAGTTAATCTGTCATTAATTTCTAATTAACCCGCAATGAACTTCTCATTAACTCCTAATTAACCCTTAATTAACTTCTAATTAACCCCTAATTAACCTCCGGATCCGCCCCCCACAATTCCCCCTTCCCGATCCGTAATAAACCCTTAATTAACCCTTAATTAATCCTCCAATCCAATCCGGGACCCCGAGACTCCTAATTAACCTTTAATTAACTCCTAATTAAGCTTCGGATCCTCCCCCAGGACACTCCCCCCTCCCCCCGGCCCCTAATTAACTCCTAATTAATCCCTAATTAACCTCCGGATCCCCCCCACAGTTCCCCCTTCCCGACCCCAAATTAACCCTTAATTAACCCTTAAATAACAGTTAATTAATTCCCCAATCCAAGCCAGGACTTTCCGACTCCTAATTAGCTCTTAATTACCCCTAATTAACCTCTGGAACCCGCCACGAGACCCACCCGACACTTAATTAACTTCCAGTCCTTAATTAACCCCCTGATCCTCCCCGGGATTGTCCAACCCTTAATTAACTCCTAATTAATCCTTAATTAATCCCTAATTACGCCCCTGACCCCTCATTAACTCCTAATTAACCCCTAATTAACCTCCCAATTCCCTCGTGACACCCCGACCCATAATTAACCTCTAATTCACCCCTAATTAACCTTCAATTAACTTCTAATTAGCGCTTAATTAACTCCCGACCCGCACCCAGGTCCCCTCGACCCCTAATTAACCCATAATTAACCCCTAATTAACGTCTAATTAACCTTAATTAACCCCGTACCTCCTCCTCCTCTTGGATCTGCTGGAACCCTCTGGGCATGGAGGCGGTAATTAATTAATTAATCAGTTAATTAGCAAGTTAATTAAGCGGGGGAGTTAATGAGGGGCACTCCCAGGGGGTTTCCCCGAGGGGGGGAGGTTTAATTAGGGACTAATTAGGGGTTAATGAGGGGTTAATGAGGGGTCAGAGGCGGGCCAGGGGGTTAATTAAGGATTAATTAGGTGTTAATTAGCGGTTGTGGCCATCCCGGTGTGGATTGGAGAGTTAATTAAGAATTAATTAAAGGTTAATTAGAGGTCGGGGGGGTCCCGTGAGAGGGATCAGGAGGTTAATTAGGCTTAATTAAGAGCACATCAGGGTTAATTAAGAGCGAGTTAGGGCTAATTAAGATCTGATTAGCGTTAAGAGCGAACTAGGGTTAATTAAGGCTAATTATGAGCAAATCAGTGCTAATGGGCGCTAATTAAGAGCGGATTAGGGCTTATTAAGAGCTCATTAGGGTTAGTTAGGGCTAATTAAGAGGGAATTAAGGCTAATTAAGAGCTTATTAAGGTTAATTAGGGTTAATTAAGAGCATTTAGGGCTAGTTAAGAGAGATCAGAGTTAATTAGTGCTAATTAAGAGCAAATTAGTGTTAATCAAGATCTATGGAGGGTAATTAAGAGCAAATTTGTGCAAATAAAGAGCTAATTAGGGCTAATTAAG